ACACAAGCCTAGAGCGCCCTCTTGTGGCTGTCAGTCTGAAAATTTTAATACATAAGTTGCACCAGAGTATAAGTCGCAGGATCACCCAAACCATGAAAAAAAGTGCGACTTATAGTCCGAAAAATACAGTATTTTTCACAGTTTTGTTTCTGTTGTTGCTGAATTTGTGATACTATAAATTACAGTGCGACTTACTTTGAAAGTGTTCTATAGAATTTAAATGAGGCGAAACCAAAATTGTAATAAAAACTCAACTAGTATGCGTTTTGCCTTTATGTAATTTCTTTATTTTGGTATAATGGGTGCTTTTTGCGGCCGATGTGATACAGATAAAAATAGGAGCCGGAGTTGCCAATAGCCGATATAAAAGCTGATAAATTTAGTGATGTAAAAATTCACTGTAAATCTTCAACTGATTCTAAAACTTTGGTCTGGCTCTACTGGATTTTAAATTTGGTTTGTTTAGGCTACATGTATTGTTATTCTGCCTCTTTACCGTCATATTTAAACACAGTAAGTTGGCCTAATGACATTTTTGCATCACATTCGAGCCAGTAAAGAAGTAAAAAATACCACTATAATGTGTGTGTGTCACTGCAATTAATTATGCGTAAATGCCGATCATTCACACCTCTATTCACAGCTCATTTACACATCATATGCAGGTCCGTAAACATATATACAGCCACTATAGTCACTTTACACTAGGCCAACATCAGAGAAAACAGACTGTTTATGTGTGGTATTTTACAGCAGCTAATCGCTAACCAATGAAAACAAAAAAAGCAGAAGTAGCTTCAAAACCGACACATTTGTAACAGTCACCACTCACACAGACACCTCAAGTTTTCACAAAAAAGTGTCTTTTCAATCCTGACTGAAAACAATTGTCCGTGAAAATAATGTAATCCAGCATGTTGACAGCAGCTGCGTGTGTAAACAAGCGCACATGTGTGACTCTGGGGGTGCGTTCAGGGGCAGTACGGCATCACAGAGACAGACAAATTACTCCGCAGATAAATATTGATGCATTGCCACATATTTGGACATTTATCTGTCTGTAAATTGGATTAAATTGGCATAATATAGAGAGTTTAAGATTCATAATGAGGTATAACATGCCCACGTGAACTATTGGCAAGATTTATGCCGATAGCCGATATGTCTCCAAGCACCCGTTTCGGCCAACCGATATATCGGTCGGGCCCTACTTTAGATTTTAGTCAAGAACTGTTTTATCCCTGCCCCATCCAGCACTCAACGGATTATTGAGGTTATGTTTTTTTTTTAACAGAGAAGATTAGGTGTTCCAAGAAGATTTTTTTTTAGAAAGTGGCAACCATTAATTCACTTTTCTGAAACTGTCTAAACAAGCCTCTACCCCTACACTTTTTATACACTTTTTTTTTTTTTTCTTGAGTGATGCTCTTTAGTCACAGTTGTTGTTTTTCTTTTTATATAAGTTATAGTTTTGGCTGTATAAAAATGAAAATGCCTATATACATTTGTTATCTAAATCACAATCCTATATTTGTTCAAGAAATAATAAATATATGAAACCAAATAAATGTTCTATCTCTGAACCCCAATCCTATATATATATATATATATATATATATATATATATATATATATATATATTTATTATATATGCACAATGATAATGTAAAATTTTTAATTCATAAGGTGGAGGCTTTAATATAAGCCCGTTTGGGTTTTTTGCCTCTTCCGGCACCTACTTTTTATCTAGTGTGTTTCTTTTTATTGTCATGTTATATGTGCAAAATAAAAATAAAAATAATAATAATAATAATAAAAAAATTAAACATATCCAATAAACATAGTCATATTACTGTAAATGCTGCACTGTTACTTTTATTGTACATAATAGTTTTTTTTTTTTGGTATTTTCATTTTTGCTCCTCCGAAACAGTGTGTTACATTAGAGTCTATTTTAAAATTATTTTTAAGCCATTATCTATTATCTTGTTTTATTGCATGTTACCATTTTCCTGCTGTTCTTGAATTGCACATTGCAACACTGGAATTTCCCCACTGTGGGACTAATAAAGGCATATCTTATCTTATATCTTATCTTATTAGGCAAACAAAACATAAAAACAAAACATTTACTTTAAACATTTGTATTACTTGCTACTTGTATTATTATTTGTATTACTCTACATTTGTATTACTATTCATACCAATGAGAAATAATTTTCATTACAGACATTCAGAAGAGAATACCGTATATCAATGTCAGTGTTAATTTGAATTTAATTGCATATTTATAACACTAACTCCTGAAAGTTGGCAAATAAATGGGTCAAAAATACGTGACTCAACTTCAAAAGCCTCAAAGCCAAGGCAAAAAAAACCTGTTTATTCTATTCTATTGTTATGACAGCATAGGATTATTTTGAAGTGAATCTGAGAGGATCAGGCCTCTTTCAGAAGTGTGTAAGTGTATACTAAAACATTTAGGACATTTTCTTTCCTGCTCTCATAAAAAGAGCATTTTTTTTTGTTTTCTGTAAATAGATCTGCCATCTTGTATCCTATTCTATATGTTAATAGTAGGGGTGTGCAAAAATATCAAATATATCGTATCGTTTAATGTGATGATACAGTTTCGATGTTGTGGGCTGCTGTATCGATATATCGCCAAGAGTATTTTTGGTATAGTTTACTCAATTATTTTGTTACAGCGCTACTGTTTTGTTGCTTGTTTAGAGGAAGGAAACTTATTTATGCAACACATTTGATGTTTTCACTGTTTTGATGATTAAAATGTTTGTATTTCATATTAACTTTGCACAAGAAGTGGTTTAAAAAAGACTTTTAGTAGCACAGCCATGATTTAGGCATTATTATTTTTTTATTAAACTGTATTGAATCGATTTGAAATATATTGTATCGAATCGGAAGTGCACTGTATCGAGATATGTATCGTATCGTGGCCTGTGTATTGAGGTATGTATCGTATTGGCAACTGCTTAATGATACCCAGCCCTAGTTAATAGAGTTTGGCAAAGCAAGTGTTAACTTTCAGCCTAAACCCCTTTGGTCTACAGAATAACATTATTTATATGCATCAACTGCATAATTAGTTTTTTGTTAAATCATTGTTACATGATGCATGATTATGTTAATTGACCGAAGAAAATAAACTACTCCTACTACTACTAAGTGTCATTTTTGCATTTTGCGCAGTGTTCTATATTTTCCAGTTGAGGAAAACTACCATGTTTCTCGGGACAAATGTGTGCAGGTTTGAAACTAAATCTTGAACAAAGCCCGTGTCACGTCACAGCAGCCGGAGGAATGCCTGTGGCCTGTCTGGACCTGTTACGGAAGAGTTGCACTGAGCTGGACAAATGCCCCAGATCTTTCCTTCTTGGACTTTTAGTTTCACTCTGAATTTTAATCCTGCTTAAATCTCTTCAGAAATGGTGCCACGATTACAATCCATGTTTTGACACACTTTTTGACTGTACGGAAGGTCAGGAAGTTCACGCAGATGTTGTAGATGTTGTCAGGCCAATATGAAATCTAATCTCTTTTTGTAATGCGTTTATTTGTGCCAGTGGAGTTTATGATAACAGTTTTATTTTGGATTAGTTTTCATTTTTGTTTTATGTTATTCGAATAATTAAAGGTGCATTATGTAACTTTAGCTTGGAATGTCCCACATAGGAATGCACTGATAAAACACTGGTATCTGATATTAACACCAATATTGAAAATGGATCGGATATTGGTTTCAAGATCATTTTGGTATATAGATTGTTGTAAAAAGATGATTTACTGGACAATTTTGACTTGTTTTGAACTTGTAATTTTTTCAAAGCTACAAGTTTGAAATATTCAGTATTACAGGGTGTTACTGTAGTTACTTTAAACAGTAAATAACAGTCAGTGTTTCCCGCAGAAAATTGGTTAGTCAAAGCGGTGACCAGGGGGGGTGGGGGTTGCGGAGATACTCACCGGCGAAAGTGAGGACGAGGTCAACTAGATCAGGAATCAAAATACAATAGACGGTTCGCAAAAACCCCAGAAGTGTAAGTTTGGACAGCAGCCAATCAGCGAAGAGTGATATATTCAGTGTTGTCAACGATTCCCGAGATCGAGGATTTAAAATTGGAACAAAGAGAATGTTTGGTGAATTTTATCAAGGGGAAAGACGTTGTCCTTGTCCTTCTTCCTACGGGATTTGGGAAAAGCTTAATATACCAGTTAGACCGTTAGGTGGTCGCCCTAACTATAAAGCGCTGCGGGAAACACTGACAGTTACAAACACGGTGAAAGCTATTGAAATGTAAGTTGTATGCGTTGTAAATTATATTTTCAGTCTCTGTCCTGGTGTCAGTTGGTATCAAGTATCGACAAATATTTAAAGCCAAAGTACTAACATCGGTAAAGAATTGTAAAAGCTGGTGCGGTGCGTCCATAGCATTGTGTAAATCCCTCATTCCTCCAGGTAGAATCCATGACAAAAGCAGAAATCCAATTTGTCAACTGAACAAAAGTTTATTTGGTTGAATATATATTCAAGCTGCTTCTTCATTTCTTCAGTTCACACATCTGCTTGTACAAGTTGACGTGTTAGTTTCAGAGTAGTTCATTGTAGTTAGCTCCTCCCTTTGGGCAGATATAAGGAAGTGTTCACCAGCGTTCCGACCAGAAGTGAAGAAGCAACTTGGATGAGCTGCGAAATGTATTAGACCAAATAAACTTTTGTCCAGTTGACAAATTTAATTTCTCCTTTTGCCATCCATAGAATTATGTAACTTTTTGGAGTGTCCCACAGTTTGGCCGTAATCTTAGACTCCACTGGCCACATTTATGAGGAAGCAACCTTGCCCAGGAAAAAAAAAGTCAGCCATAAAAAGCACATATTAATAAGTCAATGTTTAATACCAAAAAAGTAAAAGAACAGAATATTTTTGTCTGTGCAGTGACGGTTTTACTGAATGTGCTTCTTTCTGTGTTTTGTGCAGCTCCTGAGTGAGAAGATCAGTGGAGCCGAGGGGACCAAGCTCGATGAGGACTTCCAGGAGATGGAGAGAGTCAGTACAAAACACATCGTCTATAAATCCACACTAATGCAGACACAACCTAAGATTAAAGGTGCACTGTGTAACTTTTTCGATGGAGGGTCTGCTCCGTGGAGATCTTATTGTTTTGTCAGATCTGTGCAGTGTTGGGAAGGTTACTTTTAAAATGTATTCCCCTACAGATTACAGATTACATACCCCAAAATGTAGTTTGTAACATAATCAATTAAATTACTTAAAATGAGTAACGTAATCTGAATACTTTGGATTACTTGATTTGTTGTAGAGAAACAAAGACGAGGAAATCTTCACATAAGAAGTTTTGTCTGTTAAAAGAAAATAAAAAGCCCAGACTTTACTTAACCAAATCAAAATTATTATTGATAGAAGAGGAGGAGACACGGTCCGCACAGCATGGTTTAGTCCTGTTAAGTCCTGGTTTAGTCCTGGTTTAGACCTGGTTTTAGACCTGTTTTAGACCTGGTTTAGACCTGGTTTAGACCTGGTTTAGACCTGGTTTAGACCTGGTTTAGTCCTGTTAAGTCCTGGTTTAGACCTGGTTTAGACCTGTTTTAGACCTGGTTTAGACCTGTTTTAGACCTGGTTTAGACCTGGTTTAGACCTGGTTTAGACCTGGTTTAGACCTGGTTTTAGTCCTGGTCTTAGTCCTGCTTTAGTCCTGGTTTAGACCTGGTTTAGACCTGGTTTTAGTCCTGCTTTAGTCCTAGTTTTGTCCTAGTTTAGTCCTGGTTTATACCTGGTTTTAGACCTGGTTTAGACTTGGTTTAGACCTGTTTTAGACCTGTTTTAGACCTGTTTTAGACCTGGTTTAGACCTGGTTTAGACCTGTTTTAGACCTGTTTTAGACCTGTTTTAGACCTGGTTTAGACCTGGTTTAGACCTGTTTTAGACCTGTTTTAGACGTGGTTTAGACCTGGTTTAGACCTGGTTTAGACTTGGTTTAGACCTGTTTTAGACGTGGTTTAGACCTGGTTTAGACCTGGTTTAGACTTGGTTTAGACCTGTTTTAGACCTGGTTTTAGTCCTGATTTTAGTCCTGGTCTTAGTCCTGCTTTAGTCCTGGTTTAGACCTGGTTTTAGTCCTGCTTTAGTCCTAGTTTTGTCCTAGTTTAGTCCTGGTTTATACCTGGTTTTAGACCTGGTTTAGACTTGGTTTAGACCTGGTTTAGTCCTGGTTTCGGCCTGGTTTTAGACCTGGTTTAGACCTAGTTTAGTGTCCAGCAATGAGTGGAATTACCGAAAAAGATTACCTGGGGGGATGTAGCCCCAAATGTGAAAAAAGGAAAATACCGCAGTATAATCCATTTATTTCAAACAAGTAACTGTAATCCAATTACCACTCACTGAAACAGTAGCTGTAACTGAATACACTTACTCATAATTTGTACTCTGATTACGTAACTTTGGTACATGAAATCTGTTACTCCCCAACACTGGATCTGTGACAGTGCCTGTTTTTCTAGGTGTTTTTGAGCTATAAAACCACCTGAATTGAATAAATACAAGGCAGAGCTTTTTAATGTCACACTGTGGAACATTCCAAGCAGAGCAATGACTTATCCCCCAACCAGAAAGTTACACAGTGCACCTTTAACTACAGTCAGTGTTTCATCTAAAATTACATGTTGTTTCATTTTACTGGCAGCCTACTTCTGTCATTTTAATCTAATGTGCAAAAAAAAAACAGATAATCTGAAGCCATCTTGTATATTTTCTATCATTGTTGTGCCTTCTGTTATATCCTTGTCTCCATCTATCTTCAGAAAATTGAGGTCACCAACAAGTCAGTGCTTGACCTTTTGTCCAAAACCACAGAATACCTCCAGCCAAACCCAGGTAACCCAAAACCGACTTATTTACACATATATCTTCTTCTGCGGCCTATTGTTGTGAAATTAGGTCAGCTAGACGTGTTTTCAAGAAGAAGGGGGGAAAAATAGATGTTTTTACAGCATTTCTGGAAATGTCAGTGTCTTGCTTCTGATATATGTTTTGAGGAGACTGTAAAAGAAGCTGTAAAAGAGTAAAATACTTGTTTTCATATATGCAATAGTAAATCGTTGTGGAATTAAATTGAAAGATGTCTTACTCCTAATAGTTTTTCTAAAGGATTTTTTTTTTATCCAATCTCTATTCCAAAAACAGTATACAAAATAAAGTTCTTTTTTTCTGGCAGTTTATGTAACAGGTGTGTAGAGATAGACAAACACAATCAGAACTGTCTGATTTCAAAATGTTAGACACAGTGATTGAATATGATAAAGGTCATCAAACTAAGGCCCGCGGGCCAACTCCGGCCCTCCACACCTCTTTGACCAGCCCCCCCAGTCCCTCTGCCCCCCACCGCTTGAACTGGCCTTATGAGGCAATCCTCAAAAGTTGTCATGGCCTTTTTTTTTTTTTTTTTTTATACTTTTTGGCAAATAACAACACGTCTGCATCTTGTATTTTGTTGATTTTTTTCAATAAAAAAAATATATTTATATGAAGTATTCATATTTATATTTAAGTAATTATATGACGTATTTACATTTGCCGCCGAATTTTCATCATCTGACAAGCTCGAGGTCAAACAGTGAGTTCTGTAGTGCAGTTAAGGAAACGTACAAAAACTTGACAGAGATTGCAGAATTTTCAAAGAACAGTGGATGACCGATTATATTTTTGTCCAGTGTAAGGACCGTGCAGTTTGTCTGATATGTAAAGAAAGTGTGGCGGTTTTCAAAGAATATAATCTGCGTCGTCAGGGTCAAACAATTCTGTTATACGGCCGACCTGACCCCGACCCCCCTCACAATCAGGAGCGATAATGTGGCTCCCAGAGAAAAAAGTTTGGTGACCCCAGGAATAGGGGATTATAGCTTCTCTAAACCCAAACTAGACTCTTCAGTTCAGGTTTGATACTTGACTTGATGACCTCTTATCATATTTTTTATGTTTTATTGGAAGGGTGTAAAAAATGGTCAATGTTTTAGAAAACTCTTGTATGTTTTTACAGCGTCTCGAGCCAAACTGAACATGCTGAACACAGTGTCAAAGATCCGAGGACAGGTGAAGACCACGGGGTACCCACAGGCCGAGGGGCTGCTGGGAGACTGTATGCTCCGCTACGGACACGAGCTCGGGGAGGACTCCGTTTTCGGTAACTGTCCGCTCATAGTACTGCTTTAAGTTTATGTATATACTGAATTAAAAGATTATTTTATTGGCCGTTATTTAACCAGGAAAGAGAAGAGAACAAGAATCTGTTTTTCAGGGGTAGTTCCAGAGGGGAGGGATATTTAAAAAGATATTTGCTGTAACATGACCTCCAACAATTTCAGATACCATGAATGAAATCTAATCTTACACTAGTTCTGTGAAAGATCAAGGCCAGTCTAAAACTATTATGTACAAAGGACACTTATTTTATTGAGAGTCTTCTTCAGTACATTGCAAACTGGTTTTAGTCGTAGGATCTGGCAACACAAAGAGAAGAGCTCATGCTGCTTTCTGGTTGGATAGAGGTGGTGTCTCATTTCTCTTTCCTCGCTTTTTTTCCCCTTGATTCCTCTCCTCGATACTCAATCAATCTGTCAATCAAATGTGTCATATTAAGTCCTTGTCCCAAAGCGAATCACGGAAGGAAAGAATTAAAAGTTATTGGTCTCAGTGAGGAGTTTATATCCTCTCGCCTCGCTGTGTCTCCTTTGTTGGTGGGACTTTCTCACCCGTTTCCTGCAGAATCAAGGAGAAGGAAGCGAGGAAAGAGAAATGAGGCCACAGTAGAGTGAAGTTTTCTTCTGTCAGACCAAAGCTGTCACACTATCAGACTGCAGTAACATAGAAAGCATCTAGTGGTGATATGTGAGAATACAACGAGGCCAGATCGACCAAACTAATTTCCAAAATGGGACTTTAATACCTAATGTTTATGAATTTGTCCTTCAGGCTTGTCTCTGGTGGACATGGGGGAGGCCATGAGGCAGATGGCTGATGTGAAAGACTCTCTGGACATCAACGTCAAACAAAACTTCATCGATCCACTTCAGCATCTGCAAGACAAGGACCTCAAAGAAATCATGGTACGCCTCAAATGTCGTCATGTATTATTATCTAGGGATGGTCCAAGATCTATTCAAGAAATTATTTTCCATGAGTTCTCATTTGGGTTGGACAAAAAAGTGTTACGTGTTGGTGAGTTGCATCTCTTACAGTTCCAGAAAGCTGTAATAGAATGGAAACAAAACTTTGAAATCAAACAAATTAAAACTGTGAGGCCAAAATTGGAAACTAAACTGTGTAATTTATTAGCCAGGCTGGCGTCACCTAGTGCCTCCGCTCAGTTTCATTTCTCTCCAGCGACTAGGTCAGGAATCGGAATACACTAGACGGTTTGTAAGAACCCCCGGAAGTGCGAGTTTGGGCGAGTTTGGGCACCAGCCAATCTGTGTTGTCAACGATTCCCGAGATCAAGAATTTAAAGCCGGAACAAAGAGAATGTTTGGTGAATTTTATCAAGGGGAAAGACGTTATTGCCCTTCTTCCTGCGGGATTTGGGAAAAGATTAATATACCAGTTAGACCCGTTAGTGGTGGCAGTGTTTGATTAAATAAAAACAAAGTACCTGCCTACTGTCGAGCGAAGGAATCCTAATGCTGCGAGGTCAGATGGTTTCCACGAAATGAAACCGGCTGATGAATCAGGCTATTATGTTCAAATCTTGTCTTGTCTTGTTCTTGTGGACCCAATCTTGTATCTTGTCTTGTGGAAATTGTGTCTCGTCCCATCTTTATCATTATCTCATTACACTCTGTTGTGTTTTTAGCATCACCTGAAGAAGCTGGAGGGGCGGCGGTTAGACTTCGACTATAAGAAAAAGCGTCAGGGGAAGATCCCGGACGAGGAGATCCGATTGGCCGTGGAGAAGTTTGACGAGAGCCGAGAGCTGGCCGAGAGGAGCATGTTCAACTTCCTCGAGAGCGACGTAAGGATGGGGAGAAATGAATCAATGAATCACTAAGAATTATAAAAATATCAGATGTTATTGTTGTGATATTCGTGAGAAGAAACTGTTTGATTTTAAGATTATTCAAGATATTAATGCAATGACCAAACCGCAGCTAAATCTTTAATTTTCTTCCGTTTACATCATCCTGTAGCTCACCCTTCCTCAAGTATGTGACCAGCTTTCTGAAATCCAACTTTCTGAATGATGAATCCAAGTTAATTTGACATTTTTTGGAGTATATTGATGAGAAATTAGTTGTTTTTGCTCCTAAAATCGCTGTGAATGTTGCGGAAAGCATTAATTGCCTTTTTAGGTCATATAAATGTAAAGTTGCACTATGTAACTTTTTGGTTTGGGGTCCTGTCACCTGCTTGTTTCTATGGATATGTCATTGCTCTGCCTGGAATGTTCCACAGCATGACATTAAACTGTTCTCCCTTGTATTTATTCAATTACAGCTGGTTTCAAAGCTCAAAAATACCTAGAAAAACAGGTATTCTGACTGTGAGCAGGGTCGCCTCTTCACAGATCTGACCTGTAACTTTGTTTGGTTTAGTCTCCATGAAGAAAGAAAGGTTTAAAATCATACTGTGAAACATTCCAGACAAAGCAGTAACATCTCCAAGAAGAAAAGCATTTGCCGGACCCTCCACCAGAAAACTTACAAAATGCACCTTTAAATTAAAATGTGCAAAAAATAAAGCCCTTAACACAGGAACAGCATAATTTATTTCCTACATTGTTGCCTTGGCTCACACTTTTTTAACTTGGCGTTACTGGTGTCAAGAAATCAACGGGCAAATAAAAGTGACAATATAATGACAAAAATTTCAGAGTATTATATTACAACTTTCTACAACTTCATATTTAAAGTCTTGGCTTAGATGCATTCTCACTAGAGATGTAACAATATCCAAATCTCACGGTACGATATTTTCACGATATGCATCTCACGGTACGATATTTATTACAAAATTGTGAATGTGCTACTTTTTCCTCTTAAAATTCCTCTTAAAATTCCTTGGGTTGGACTTAAAGAAACAAAGAACTAACTAAAAGTGCTTAGAACTGCTATTTCTTCATGTAGTTTGCGCCAAAACGGAGCAAAGGATCGTGGTCAATGTAGTTCTCTCTGTTTTTGCTGCACCATAACAATGAATTTAAGCAAAGAAACTTGTGATTCGATATATTGTGATGGCCCATGATATTATTGTGAGAACTTTGACGATGTGATATCACGATATTTTGGTTATTGTTACATCCCTAATTTTCACTATTGATAGATTTAAGATTTAAAGGTTTTGGAGATGTTATTGCTTTGTCTGGAATGTTTCACAGTGTGGCATTAAACCTTTCTATCATCATGGAGACCAAACCAGACCAAGTTACGGGGCAGATCTGTGGAGAAGCAGCACTGATTAAGACAGCAAAAAGTGGAGTGTTAAAATTGACTCTCACAGAATCAACTTTAACATTTTCTCAGAGTTTATATGAGTCCAAGCTGTTCTAGAGTTAATTTAACATTTTTGGAAATGTTAATGAAGTAAAACTGGACCAAAGTTCCTGTTTAACCCCGAAATCCAGAGTTATTTTAACATTTTGAGAGTGAACAGATAACACTTTGTAGGGTTATGTGTTTTATTTTATTTTTACTTTATTTTAGTTAATTTAAGATTAAATTATGTACAAAACTGGTTCAAACTAGTCTTCTCTCGTTAGAGTTTGAAGTGGTGAATGGGAGGAGCCAAATTAACAGTAATAGAAGTTGAATTAACACTAGAGGAAGTTGAATTAACCTCAACCACATCAACTCTGGCAAATAACCCCAACTCGTATCCCCATTTAAATTTCAGATAGTTAAAATAACACTTTTGGTGTTAAAAACAACTCTGAAATATTTTACCTTAAAATTTTAACCCTCCAGTTTTTGTTGTGTACAGTCAGAATGCCTGTTTTTCTAGATATTTTTGAGTTTTAAAACCACCTCTACTTGAATAAATGTAAGGTAAAGCTGTTTAATGTCATACTGTGGAACATTCTAGGCAAGGCAATGACATATCCACAGAAACAAGCAGGTGACAGACCCTCCACTAGAAAAATTACACAATGCACCTTTAAAAACATGTGCTGTAATCTCGTCCCTGCCTGCAGGTGGAGCAGGTGAGTCAGTTGGCGGCTCTGATCGAGGCGGCGCTGGAGTATCACAAACAGTCGAGTCAAATCCTGGAGGAGCTCAGCACAAAACTACAGAAGAGGTGAGAAAGTTCAGAAGGTTTACAAGATTAATGGCAGTTTAAGTGGTTAACAAAGGCCGCAATTTTTTCAAATACCATAATTTCCTCCACAAACACCATCATTTCCTGTATTATTATGTATTTTAAAAGTGCTAACCCTGTAGTTAATATGTGTACAAACATGTTCTAAAATGTGATTCTTGTTCAGTCTTTTTGTGAAGTTTAAAATGTGAACTTGGAGCTTTTGACATCCTATTATTAAAGCATAAATCGCAAATCCGATCACAGTCGCAAAGCTCTTCCGAAAAGTTTTAATTTGATATCTGCGGCTCAACATTTCAGACATGTTCAAACCATGTCACCTGCCGTTTACTCAGACCTGTTACCGCTGTTACGCAATCGCACAACTTTTTTTTTTAAAACGACATCGACTGGAAACGCACGTGCACTTGTGTAACCAGTTTCCCAAAATGTATATTATTTTTAAAGAATCTGGTGTGAATAATATTTAACGTGGGAGCAAACGCCTAAACTCCACCCACACCACAGCCTTCCCTTTAAATATCACATAACATGCATTATTCAGGCCTTTAGAAGTGCCCTGGATGCCCTGGAGACTGTCTCAGCACTAGTTCGTAGACTAAGCTGTTTCATTTCCCGGTTCTCCTGCTGTGACCCTAATAACCTTAAAAATGCACAGAACATACTGCAGACATGAGGGAGCACACGAGGGATTGACGCAGACTGAACGCTTCCATTAGATCTGAAGTTTTTACAGTTTTGTGAAACATTATTTAACTGCACTGTGATATTATAATAGACACTTAATGACCTATTATTCGTTATCAGCCTGTGGCTCACGCGGCTTCAGCCTGAACAGTATTGAGTGTCACATATCACAGGTTATGTAACAGGGATGCGCCTATGTACAGGGTTGGGAAGGTTGCTTTTAAAATGTATTCCCCTACAGATTACAGATTACATACCCCAAAATGAATAGTTTGGATTATTTGATGTTGTCATGTTTTTTAAAACTGCATGAATGTACCAACCACATCCTGAAAATTCTTGTTTGTTCTCTTCAAATTGTCTCTTGAGTCCAAGTCTCCATGAACAGACTTTTGTTTTACTGTAGAGAAGCAAAGACGAGGATCTTAGTTTTTATCTTAAGTTTTATCTGCTAAAAGACACAAAAAGCCCGGTCTTTCCTTAACCAGATTAAAAATATTATTGATAGAGAAACGATTTTTATACAAGATCACTGCTGCTTAAATTATGTCCACCTACTGTTAGGTGTCATTTTGTTTAGAACTGGTTTAATCCTGATTTAGTCCTGGTTTAGTACTGGTTTTAGACCTGGTTTAGTCCTTGGTTTAGTCCTGGTTTAGTCCTAGTTTATTCCTGGTTTAGACCTGGTTTAGTCCTGGTTTAGTTCTGGGTTTAGACCTGGTTTTAGTCCTTGTTTAGTCCTGGTTTTAGACCTGGTTTAGTCCTGAGTTTAGACCTGGTTTTAGTCCTAGGTTTTAGTCCTAGGTTTAGACCTGGTTTAGGAAAATGTGAAAACAGGAAAATACCACAATGTAATCCATGTATTTCAACAAAGTAACTGTAATCCAATTACCACTCACTGAAACAGTAACTGTAACTGAATACAGTTACTCATAATTTGTACTCTGATTACGTAACTCTGGTACATGTAATCTGTTACTCCCCAACACTGTGTATAATGTAATTCACTTAATATAACTAATAATGAAAATTAAATAATACTGACACTATGGAGCGGTGGCAGAGGAATCCACCACAATAATGTTTTTACTGATTAATGTAGTTTATGATGCTTAATGAATGTAATACTGTACACAGTATATAAATACTTAATGTACTGGATGTATAGTGCACCATTCAAGACACCTAAAGTACTTTACATTGCAGTAGACTGAGAGAGGCGAGGCTGCCAATCTGAACCATCAGCCCCTCTGACCACCACTATCACTCACACACCACACTTATACAAGGCAATGCGGGTCAAGTGTTTTGCCCAAGGACACAACAACAGTTTCCACTAGAGCCACCACTGTCACCCCCCTGTGTTCCCCCGCGGTCTCCTGTTTAGCTTCAGAGATGCTTTGCGCTCCGTGATCTGACAGCATCAGGCATTGATTTGTTATGTAATGATCTGGAGAATGCTTGTCATCTAAACACATTAATGACTCGCTGAAAAAGTCTGTTTTGTCCTTTATTTCTCCTCGCAGGATATCCACGGCCAACACTCGCCCCAGAAAAGAGTTTAAGTCGAAGTCTGTGAAGAGCAGCATAGACACTATGGGCAGTAATCATCAGAACGGACTCTCCTACAGCTCCTCCATCAAATCCACAGGTACGTGATACCCCGTAATACCCCGTAATACCCCGTAATGCTCCTGTTACTATGGCGATGTTAAGTGTGATGTCACCGGTCCAAACGCTCTGAGCTCCAAAGACACAAACCAAGACCAGGATCAAATCAATTCATATTTTAAAATAAACATACTTTATTTAACTAAGCATCTTGTATTGTGAATGTGTCTATAAAGGTTTATTTCTTCATAAATTGGTAATGCAGAGTGTAGAGTCACTGTTCACAATTTCTGATTCTTAATGCTCCAATACACGATTAAATAATTTCCCTTGTGGATCAATAAAGTTTGTCTAAGTCTGTAAGTTACCACTGAGAATACTAAAAAAAAAATACCAGAATACACATGTTGTATCAAAACAAAACAAAAAAAAAACACTTAAAACACATCATATTGATTGATTTGATTAGATTATTTATTTCGGTCACAGGTATATTTTGATATTTAACATACACGGACCGAAAAGGTGCAGGCTGAAGCTTAAGCTCATTATGCCTTTAACCTTTATTCCTTTGTCAGAGCTTCATCTCGACACCAGTTCATCTTCATAAATACAGCGAGAGGAAACAAACTAATCAGTAACAGAACAACAAAGTTCTACAGCACAAACTAAGTATCATAATTCATGTATCTGTCCAGAGTTAAACATTTAAATTTCTTTATAAAGTGAAAGAGGCTGGCGCACAATTTTAGATTTTCTGTACACTTGCTCCATAGCTCCACACCTTTAACAGATACGCAAAATTTCATAATGTTTGTTCTGATTTTCTTTTTTATAAACATGGCCGTGCCTCTGAGCTCATATTGGCTCTTTCGGGTTTTGAACATGTTCTGTAAGATTTTGACAGGAGATTATTGTTTATTTTGAACAAGATTTTCATTCATTTTCAGAGTATAAAGGTCGACTAAACCGTAAAATTTGAAGGTTTATAAATAACGCACTGGCTGATTCGTTATAAGTCGATCATGTGATTGCTCTTATTGCCTTTTTTTGCAAGGTAAAGATTGGATTTGTATTAGTCTTATATGTACTGCCCCAAATCTCAATACCGTAGGTTATGTAGGGCATTACCAGCGAGTTGTAAATGATAAAAGACTGTTTTAATCTAAGATATATCTATATTTATTTATAATTGCGATCACTTTAGATAATTTATTTCAAATTTTATTTATGTGTGATTTCCAGATTGAATTATGGTCTATAGTTACTCCTAAAAATTTATTTTCAAAGACTCTTCCTGATTGAGACTGTGTACTTTGGACTCAGAGGTAAAGTCGAGCGATGGCGCGAACTCTTAACAGCCCCACATCTCGTGCACTTTAATGTTGTGGCTTTGCTTCTGTGTGGTCTTCCTGCTTTGTTTCAGTTGCATTGTTTTGTGGTTTTGCTCTTTGCAGATATCCAGATCCACACAGTCAATGGGAAAAGTATGTACCGCTTTTTTTTTCTTTTTTTTTCCATTGAAGTTTATTGGAAACAAAGGAACAATATATATCGTACATTGACACAGCATTTCAATTACAGTCCCCTTTCTCCTTTTCTAAAAGTAAACAAAGTCACTGTACTTACATTATAGAAATTATCAAGCTTGAACAAAAGGAAAAAAGCTTGGTAATATTAAAACTAACAATAACAAAACAAGAAGAAGAAAAAAATCTAAATGGGGCAACAAACATTCTCCAAGTTTTCCAGTAATTGTCAAATTTGTCAAAGTCAAGTCTCATATTAAATGTCAGTTTTTCTATTACATAAATGGTGTGAACAACATTTATCCAGTCCTCAATGCACGGAACTTTATCACTAAACCGTCTTTTTGTAATACACTTTTTCCCAGCAGCCAGTAATATCTTATAAAATGTACGGCTTTTTGAGTTTTACTGCATTCTCTCTTTGTTAGATAAATGTACAATATCACTGCCACTACTGATTATAATCTTGACTGTCCTACATTCTGCAAAACTGACTCTTGTGAGCTTTAAGCCATGTTATAATGTTGTTACCTCCTCAAAAACATGCCTTGAGTTACGTTATAAGACCGTCTCTCCACCTGCTGATTTCATTAAGCCGTAGTTTTCAATTTAACAACTGCCTTTTACCTTTTTTTTTTTTCAGTAGAGATTGGCAATTCCAGGTCTGAAATTATCCAAATTATTCTAGTGAGGGTGCATGGAGTTTAAAAACACACAATTTTGAACAATATCTTCTGTGTTTTTTGTGTTTTTTGAGAGAAGAACTCAGCCTAAATATGCAATTTTGTGTGTTAAACATGTGAGAATGAAACAAAACACAACTCCAGGTCTATTTTTGATGAGGAAATATCATTATAACAGCGGTCAGACCCTATTTAATTTAACCTTTATATATGGTGCGGTATGTGTTGTGATAAACTGTAGTCAAAATCAATGTTACATAAGTCCACAGAGCCCAAATACTTTGCATATCTGGATGAAATGCCTGACACTTAAAGGTGTAGAGTTAAATGTTACGCGCCCGTATTCGTCTTTATTATCTTGTGAGAGTGAATGGAGAGTAAAAAATAGACTGTGGACATCAGGGTTTTAATGAAAATCTACAAACAGGTTGCACTGTGGGAAATGTGCCCATATTTCTCACGCCGCTTTAGCCTTATTCAACAGACAAAATAACACGGTGGTTTTTAGAAGAGCAACAGTGCCCCCTAGTGAAAGAAACGGGTAACTCCTCATATTCGACAAATCCCTCATGGCAAAAAAACTAAACAAAACAAAAAAACTACTGAATATAACAACATTCTGAAGTTTTTGTACATATTTGTCCACAAAATGAGTGTATTTTTATTTAATTAATTTTATTTGGTGGTGAAATTAAAGTACAAAGTCATATCAGCCAGTGGTAGTTGTGTCTAGACTAAAAAATAAATGCCAAAGGACCTTATATTACAAATGTTGAAGCGCTAAATCAAAATTTCTCTTAATAATTCACTTTATTCGTAAATATTCTCTATCTAGAAACCTTCAGTCACTATATTCCAGCCTTTATTTGCTTAAAATCTGAGTATTAATTGGTCGCAGAATCATGAAAAATTAGGAGCGTTGCCATGGATTACAAATCAATAATGCGTGATTATGAATGAAAACTAAATATTAGATTTTTTGAATGGGAAAAATCCTCTAAATGTTGTGTAAAACAGAAAGCTGAAACCCAGGAATACAGAAATAATCATGTGACTACTCCACAAATCTGAAAAAAAAAAGTGTGGATGTAAGATGTGGACAATTGTACTTTTTTTTTTTTTACTTTTTACATTTCTGTGTATTTCATATCCACTGTACCAGACATCTTGTGCTCATCTCCATTTTGTTTGCCCATTTTCTTGTTTTCATTTAAAGACGACCACATCACGTCTGCCCCCGAGTCGTGGCCCGACAGCCCCGTCACCAACGGCAACCACCATCGTGAGTCTCACCCACCGTCCATCAACACATCATCCATCATCTGTGTAGTTTTTTTATTTTTTATCCAGGGTAGATTAGGACTTAATATGAAAGTACGAGTACTGTTTCTCAAAATATTATGTTTTTATTATTATATTATCAGATTCAGAATTCAGAAGTAATGACTCAACTCATTTCTCACGTAAAAATTAATCAAATTGTCATTAAGAGATCTGATTATGATTATGTAATCTCACGCACAAAACATGAAGTAATGCACAAATTCTACTATTTCTAATAAGTAATTAAAGAGATAATTTAGCCTTTTTTTTCCCAGCAGGGATTTTTACTTCTTTCAGCAACTTCCAAACAGATAACTTTGAAGGTATGTACCTGCTGTAGCTGTGTCGAATAATTCATCAGCATTTGCACACCAATCAGAGCTTTTGTTTTCATTGTGCTTCCTGTTTTTGTCATACAATCAAACATCACACATCTAAACATTATCTTAAAATGTTCCTTTTATTCTAGATCAGACCAAAATCTGGTTGAATTTGGGATTAATTATATAGACAAATAATTAATGCTAAATAAACCTGCATTTGAAGCGCTACAAAAAAATATACAAATTTACTTTACAAGGCATTAAGACTCTTGCCTGATTCATCCGATGGTTTCCACAAAGTGAAACCTCGCAGCATTAGGATTCGTTCGCTCGACAGTAGGCGGGTACTTTTTTTATTTAACCAATCGCTGCTATTTGGTCGTGACGTATGTAATGCGCCAAATCCCGTAGGAAGAAGCGCAAAAACGTGTTTCTTGATCAAATTCACCTAAACATTCTCTTTGGTCTGGCTTTAAATCCTCGATCTTGGGAATCGTTGCCAACACAGAATGTATGGCTTCTTCTGCATCCATCTCGACCGCTGTTTACTGTTGTGCTGCACCACAAAAGACAGACAGACGCTTGAGTTTGACGTTATGGCTTCACAGCTCTTCTCTGATTGGCCGGTGTGTGGTCTACAACTTCCGGGGTTCTTGTAAACCGTCTAGTGTATTCTGATTCCTGACCTAGTTGCTGGAGAGAAATTAAACTGAGTGGAGGCACTAGTTGACGCCAGCCTGGCTAATAAATCTCAGGGCTCTGACAAAAAAAAAAAAAAAAGAAGAAAAATCAGACTTTTGATGCAATTTAATTCTGTGTTACTAAAAACAATTCAAAATGTCTTTCTATATTAATTCCCTCAACTTAAACAGAACAGACTTTTAATTAGCACCATTTAACACAAAAATAGTCCAATTAATACCTTTAAAATCATCTAAAGTTTGCTCCAAATCACGTACTTTTATAGACTGAGGATTGGCGGTATAACTCTTGATTAAAAAGATCCAAGATGATCATTGACTATGAGAAACGACCAAATTAAATTTGATTAATTGCACAGATCCTACAATGAATCATGGTACTAAACAGATTTCTAAATGTGCACAAGATTATGCCTTTGCCCAATTATTTCCTGGCGTAACTCTTTATATGACGCTTTACTAACTCTCCGTTGTGTCGCCTGCAGAGACAGAGGTGCTGGACCAGCCGTGTTGCCGCTCGCTTTACGATTTCGAGCCCGAGAACGAAGGAGAGCTCGGGTTTAAAGAAGGAGACATCATCATCCTCACCAACCAGATCGACGATAACTGGTACGAGGGCATGATCCACGGAGAGTCGGGCTTCTTCCCCATAAACTACGTCCAAGTCCTGGTCCCTCTGCCGCAGTGAGGACGACGGAGAACTACAAAGATGGCGTCTTCTGCTCTTAAGGACTCGTAATGAGCGTTACGCAGGGCGAGCGGTGAAACGGGGCCTGCTCGAGAGAGATACACCTCTGGGGGGGAAATCTGACAAGAGACGACTGCAAAATGGTTTAATGTATAAGTTTGTTGTTTGTATCTACGTGCATTTGTAGTGGAAGTATGCGTGAGTATGCCTTATATATAACTTACGACAATATTTTCCCAATCAATGGGTTTCAGAAGGATGATAAATTAGGATTGACGCCATCGCGATTAACAAAACAAAACTTTGCAGCGACATCGGGTGTATTTCTACGTATTTGTATGGCGGAATGTTCAGATTGTTAGAAATCTCAAGAAAAATAGGAGCCTGTGTGAGCTTTTTTGTAGTCCAGCTCTTTCTAGGTCGGCTCTTTCAGGTCAGATTGTGTTAAAACAAAACTCAGATTAAAGTCTAACTTGAGTAACGAAGCTTCAGACAGAGCAGATCCTCCAGTTCGCTTCGTACTATCATACCCCACCCGTTGTCAGATTGCAGATCGTTGACCCGGTTTATGGTTCGTATCTCAGTCATTTCTTCAAAACTAAAATTGGCACGAGGATCAGCGCCTTCTCTGTCAGCGTAAATATACAAAAGTGGAGTGCTTTAGAAAATGGTACCATATTTAGGGTGACCAGACGTCCTTATTGACCCGGGACAGTCCCAGTTTCGAGCCCTGTGTCCCCTGTCCCAGCGGATTTATCCAAAACTAGTAATCGTCCCAGTTTTATACAAGAAATATCCCAGGTGTCCCTATTTTTGAACAATCTGATCTCTGCCGACAGTAAAGAGAGGCACAAATTGTCACTTGTTTAGGTAAATCACAGAAAAGCTGCTTAAAAACGATCAAAACACAAACAAAATGTGACTATACTGACTCACATTAGTGCCGAGTCCATAACAGTTTTCCTTAATTACGCGCTTGTTTGGCAATTTTATGATTAAGAACCAACCCAAACTGGGAGTGTCACAGTTTTTTATTTTGAAAATCTGGAAACCTTAGCCGGTCAAAAGTTTTAGAACACCACACTTTTTCCAGTTTTTTACCGTTTACTGTTGACCAAAACGTATTATAAACTTTTGATTCATGATGTAACAGCTGAACACACTCGTGGCTCGTTCTTTTTACAACAGAAATCAAATATTCTTCAGGTAGTTCTTCCCAAGTCTGTTGCTGAAGTTCCCGTAAATGTGTGGCACTTGTAGGTTGTTTGACTTTCACTCTTCTGTCCAGTTCGATGGGGTTTAAGTCTGGACACTGTGCTGGACACTCCATGTTATCAAGCTTTACCATCTTCGTTCTTTTTTCCTGAGGTAGTTTTGGCAAAGCTTAGACTAGTTTTTGTATCTTTTATCTTTTTTTTTTAACTTCTGGCTGTTCAGTTCTTACTTTTGTACCATTTCAGGACTTGCACGACTTGAATTGCAATAAAAAACTGGAAAAATTAGGGTGTTCTAAAACTTTTGACCAGTCATACTTTCATACTCAACTTCTTTATGCAGTCAGTAGTTAAAGCATACATTTCCAGTGGATATTCTATTATTTTATTCTTTTATAAATTCAAAATGTGCTTTTCTGAGCTACATCTTCCTCAAAAACCGCAGTCGTCTCTTGTCGTTTTCTCCCAGAGCTGTATCCTCGTCTGTGGGAGCACGAGGGGGCAGTCCCGTGTTTAAAGTGACTTATCCGAGTATAGCGTTCTACTGTCGATATATTTATGAATGAACTCAAACCCAAGCCATTAAAGCGGGACTCGATCGAACCGTGTCAGTCGCGTAACGTCGGTTTGACTGAAAAACTAAAAAGCCACAAGTCGTGTTTTTTTTGAGTTGTGTCCAAGTGTTTCAAAGTCCTGTCGTCTTGTTTTTGCGGTGAGTCATGAACAACTTTCCATACATTTCCAATTTTATTTTATTTTTTCTCCTACATTTCAATTGCACGGCATTTTATAAGAATATTGTACAAAAAGATGTTTATTTCAAGTTTGTATTTCCATTTTGGGGCTGATGGCAAATCGAGTGTAGGAGGGTAATTGTGCGTAGATCTTATTTCAAAAGTCCGATTCATTTGAAAACTACCAAACTAATTATTTTTACGCAATGTTATTATAATTCATTTAGTATGCTTTGTTTTTAAGACTACGTAACGTTTTTTACATACCAATATTGGACACCTACCAAGTTTTTTCAGGCATTTTTTTTTTTTTTACCATCCACAATGTGAACGTGTGTGTGTTTGATTGATTATTTTTGTTATTTTCTCTGTGTTTTTCTCTATTGATACTTTGCAGTGACATCGTGCCGGGGGTGTTCTGCGTGTGTCTGTATTGGCGGAGTGTTCAGCGGTTACTACGGTGACACGGTTGAGCCCTAACGCAGGCAAAAAAAGTTTAAAGATGATCTGAAAACTCAAGAAAAATAATCAGTACGAGCACTCTTCAGTCCTGATTTTTAACAAAAAGGTGAGAGCGACGAACTGAAGAACTGCGACTCTAATTTTATGCGTGAGAGACGTGTTGAAGCGCACAGATCCAGATCATCTCGTCTGGTCTAGTTCCAGCCAGAGTCCTGCACGGGTCCATTTTTTGGAGACCCGCCCGGACCTGCCCGCACCTGTACAGTACAGCACCACACCCGCCCGTTAACCCGAGATTATACCGAAGTTAAGTCCGCACCAGCCCGGACCCGTTAACATTCCACCCGTTACCCGCCCGTGCCCGTGATAAATCGGGGTCAGGCCATTAGTTCGGCTGCCCTGTAGTCCAGGACTAAACTAGGACTAAACTAGGACTAAACCAGGACTGAACCTACGCCGTGTCATTAGCAGATTATAAATATAAACATGCCACAAAACGCCGAGCCGATCACCAGGACTACAACAGGATTGGACCAGACTGAACCAGGACTAAACCAGGACTGAACCAGGACTAAACAAGGATTAAACCAGGACTGAGCCTACGGCGTGTCATTAGTGGATTATAAATATATACATGCCACAAAACGCTGAGCCGATCACCAGGACTAAACTATGACTGAACCAGGACTGAACCTACACCGTGTCATTAGCAGATTATAAATTTATACACGTTGCAAAATGCCGAGCCGATCACCAAGACTGAACAAGGTCTAAACCAGGTCTAAACCAGGACTTAACCAGGACTGAACCTATGCAGTGTTATTAGCGGATTAAATATAAATAAAATAAATAAGTATATACATGCCACAAAACGCCGTGACAATCACCAGGACTGAACCAGGACTAAACCTACGCCGTGTCAGATTATAAATGTATAAAATGCCACAAAACGCCGAGCCGATCACCAAGACTGAACCAGGACTGAACCAGGACTTAAACCAGGGCTAAACCAAGACTGAACCAGGACTAAACCAGGACTGAACCAGGACTAACTCAAGAGTGAACCAGGACTTTACCAGGACTCAACCAGGACTAAACTTATGCCGCGTCATTAACGGATCATAAACACATACACGCCACAAAACGCCAAGCTGATCACCAGGACTACACCAGGACTGAATCAGGACTAAACCAGGACTAAACCAGGCCAAGCTGATCACCTCTGCTGATGATTTTATGTAACAAATACACTAAAGTCTCTCTCAGCCTGGTCCATCGTCCATCGAAAAGACTGGGAAATGTCACTTGTTTCCAGGGCAACGAACATAATGGATGCACTTCAAGTATTTTTCTCCTGTTTGTCGTTTATTTGATTCACCTGACAGAACGTTAAAACGCGCCTGTTTCAGTAACTGCAGGTACCCGTTAGTGCAGGACTCTGGTTCCAGCAACGTCCGCTCTTTCCGGTCAGACTGTGTTAAAGTAAAGCTCAGATTAAGTCAAACTTGAGTAACAGAGCTTCAGACAGAGTAGTGCTCCCGGTTAGCGTCACACCCCCGGGGACTGTTGATGACACGAGCTGCAAAGTATCAATCTCTTCTGCACCACTGATCTTGATGGTCGTCTTTACACTGAACTCAGAAATCAGCTTTGAATCACAACGAGACACGAGACTTCCTTATTTTTTACCGTTTGAACCACTTTTTGCACTTTTCCACCGTTGTTCATTTTGTTCTTTATTCACTCGCTGTCGTCACCTTCACGCCGACACATTCCACTGTTTCACAACCGCTTGTTTTGCCTTATGTTTTTCTTGAACAGACTAATTTCAGGAGGATTGTTGTCATTTTTAAGTGTAAATCAGGGTTGTATCTGCTCCAAATTGGCTTCAAATGTTCTGCAGTGAGGTTAGGGTTAATGGGAATTTGACCCATCACCCAACATCCAGGGACCCATCTCCAGATCTTGGGCTCAATTTTAGCTTAAAGATTTGACCTATTGTGCATGTTTTGGGTTAATGGGGGAAAACCAGAGCGTCCGCCCACCCATACACGGGGAGAACGTGCAAAGAAAGGCCTCACAACAACAACAAAAATGTAAAATTCACACTTCTTCCTTGCGATTTTAATACATTTTAGTAGAGATGTACGGATACAGATACTGACGTCAAAGATCAGCACCAGAAAATTTGCTGGACCATGTATCAGTTCCATGATTTCGTTTTCAGTGGGACTTTTTACTGACTGATGTGGGCCAGGAGGTCTCGTAATGTTTGCAAGTTTTGTTTTGAGGAAATAAATGCCATTTTAAACCCCTACACTATTAAATATCGTGCATCTGCAGATACTTAAAGAATCCGTGTATCATTCGTGCATTCGTTTTTCGATATAAAACCAAAAATAAGAAAATGAAAAAACAACAGTTTGTCTCCAAAACCAAAATGAAAAAACAGATAATGATTTGTTTTTTCAGTTTTCGATTTTGTGTTTAAATGAAGAATGGGAAAAACAGATAACGGCCATTTCCAGTTTACGTGACTTCCGTGACTTTTTCGCCGCATACGGACTGAACCAGGACTGATCCAGGTCCGGGACCGGTCCGGGACCAGGCCAGGACCAGAGTGGAACCAGACCGGGACCAGAGCGGACTCCGAGCTTTGACTCCGAGCCTCCGCAGGGTTCCAGCCTCAGCTTCTAGCTCCGGCCCTCCCTTGGGCTCTGAGCCTCCGGTCTGGTCCCGGTCTGGTCCCGGCCTGGTCCCGGCCTGGTCTCGGTCTCAGTCCCGGTCTGGTCCCGGCCTGGTCTCGGTCTCAGTCCCGGTCTGGTCCCGGTCTGGTCTCAGTCTCGGTCTGGTCCCGGTCTCAGTTCTGACCTCATTCTTGGTCTCAGTCCTGGTCTGGCCTCTTTCTGGTCTCAGTCTGGTCCCGGACCTGGATCAGTCCTGGTTCAGTCCGTATGCGGTGCAAAAGTCCGGCATCGCAGTCACGGAAGTCACGTAAACGGGAAATGGCTGTGATCTGTTTTTTCCCTTCTTCATTTAAACACAAAATCGAAAACTCAAAAAATGAATCATTATCCGTTTTTTCATTTTGGTTTTGGAGACAAATAGTGAAGAAAACAGTTGTTTTTTCATTTTCTTATTTTTGGTTTTATATTGAAAAACTAATGAACGAATGACACAGGGATTTTAAAGCCATAACAGTACCGATAACAGAACAGAAAAGCTGAATCGTTGCATCCTTAATTTTTAGTTTTTAGTTTTGTATTTGTTTTTAAACTGACCAAAAGCATGATTTTATCTTTTCTTGCCAGCTTCTAGTGCACAGCTTTGAATGCCTTTATTCACTTGAGAAGTCACGGACCATCACTGCGTACGGTGTCTTTAGCCTTGAGAAGCATGTATTTGCATTTACACATGTTTTTGAGATTCTGGGTAAAACATTTGCCACAAAAATGTCTGTAACGCACTGGAGGGTTTTGCACTTTTGTTCCAAATCACCACTGTTTATTGAAAAAAAAACTGCTAGATTCTAAATATTGTAAAACCACTGATGTTGGGACACATATATATTTAAAAAGTCCTTTTGACTTTTCTTGTAAAGGACAAACTTGTGAGACACTTGTAATTGTTTTTCCATGGTTTTGTCAGTGCACAGGTGCGTTCAAACTTCTACACAAAGAGCATCACAAGTGGGACTAAGGTAGGACTAGAACCAGACCAAACCAGTTCTACTTTAGGACTAAACTGGACCAGGACAAGTCTGAAATGGCCCTAACTTCACATGGCATAAAACATACTTCAGTAATAATACAATTCATTAATTCAGTTACAAAACAACAAATACAGATTTTATTTGCCTTTTTATTGATCTCAAACAAATGATCCATAATATTAGCATTTGTTTTAGGATTTTATATAGACTTTTTTTTTTTAGACTGCGAGGTGTGGACTTATTTATGACGTTTTATTGGACCAAAACATATATTATAATGTCTCGTTGGAAAAGTTGTGCCCATAAATGTTGACAAAAATCCCTGTAAATCTGAAAACAAAGTTATCAACATTACCAGTACTATTTCACCTGCTTATCTCCATGGAAACAATATTGCTTTGTCTATAATGTTCCACAGTACAGATTAAACCGACCTATGACGAGGGAGACGCGCACTACGCTACGTTACAGCTCAGATCTGCGGAGAGTCGCCCCTATTCGCAGAAGGAATTATTGTATTTTTGAGCAACAGAAACACCGTAATGAATAAACGCTTAATGTATGTGTTTAAAGTCATACCATGGAACATTCTAATAGATATGTAGTTAATCCTTCACCAGAAAAGTTCCGCAGTGCAGCACGTTTGTCTAAAATAAAAGCGAAGTTACAGGAGCAGAACCACGACTGAGAATTTCGACTGGTCTTTCTGTGTCATTTCAACCAATCCGTGAAACCTTAGTGTTATTTTTACCTTCAAATATTCCCACCATTTCACTCTGAAGTTTACAGAACTCAAACTAAAGTTCAACCCGGGTGCATTTTAAAGTCGTTTGTTGCTTTTATAAACTGTGTCCAGGATTGTAGCCGGTTTCGCCTGCGTTGCCCGTGTATATTTGCATGTGATAAACGTTAAAGATTGTGGATACTGGGGAGACGATAGCACAGCTTGTCTTGTATTCAGTTTTCATATAAGATTTTTATTGTTTTTTTTGTTTTGTTTTTTTTTTTTTCATGGACCAATTGATAGTTTCATTAATAATTTGGTCCAGAATTGGAATAGGGACATTTATGAATCCGTGTATCGTTCGTTCATTCGTTTTTCAATATAAAACCAAAAATAAGATAATGAAAAAAACAACAATTTTCTTCATTATTTGTCTCCAAAACCAAAATGAAAAAACGGATAATGAATTGTTTTTTTTCAGTTTTCGGTTTTGTGTTTACATGAATAATGGAAAAAATGGATAACAGGTGTTTCCCTGCGATGCCGGACTTTTGCACCAGGACTGAACCAGGAATAAAAATTTTTCTGTGCTGGTCTGGTCCCTGTTTCAGTCCTGGTCTCAGTCCCGGTCTCAGTCTCAGTCTCAGTCCTGGTCTGGTCCCGGTTTGGTTCTGGGCTGGTTCCCGTCTGGTCCCGGACCTGGTTAAGTCCTGGTTTAGTCCTGTTTCGGTCCTTGTTCAGTCCGGCATCACAGTTTAGGTCACTCAAACGGGAAACGGCCGTTATCTGTTTTTTCCATTATTCATTTAAACACAAAATCGAAAACCGAAAAAACAAATCGTTAACTGTTTTTTCATTTTGGTTTTGGAGACAAATAATGAAGAAAACGGTTATTTTTTCGTTTTCTTATTTTTGGTTTTATATTGAAAGTTACACGGATTTTTATGTAGCTGTTGTTAAAAAATAGGCTCTAAAAAAAAGAAAAAGAAAAGGAAAAAAATCTGTCAATTAATAAAAAATATACATCTGTAAAGTACATTTTTAAAAATCCGTCTTTTCCATTTTGAAATATTAAAAATACCAGAAAGCCATTACAATCTGACTAACAAAATCAAGAAATATTTACATTTTGATAAGTGTAATGATTGACAGTATGTTTTATTTTATTTTATTTAATAGTTTTTACACAAACCCAATGCCGTTATGTCATTACAACAGCTAAATTAACCCTTGAAAATACAGTTGTTATGTTTTTATCTTAATTTCTTGGACTATTTAAAGCTCTTGATTGTAATATGAATTCTGAATGCAGGACAAACCTTAACCACACATTTAAAGGTCTTTTTTTTAATGACCTTTGAACTTTACTTGTCTGTATCTGACTGTATTGAACTGTAGTTAGTCCACTGTGACCTCTGTAGCCTCCGTCTCCGTCTCCTCTCTCCTTCTCTCTTTCTCTCTCTTCAGTATTGTACAAACTTTTAAAGACACCTCTCTGCACATGTTTTTTTTCTGTGTTCTTTTTCAGGAGCATAATTTATGCAAAGTCGTTTTATAGATGTTGTAAATGAATATAATAATAAATATATTGCATAAATAAATGACAAATATTCACATTCGCTTTTGTATGTTCATTTACTTTTTTAACTCTCACAATGAAAATGAAACTAAAGAAAAGTCTGTGTCGTATAACCAAATCTTTTTTTATCATATATTAGATACACAAAGACACATAACTGCATGCACAATAGTCTGTTTACATAATAATCACTTTACAAAACATTTAAATTGTCAGTGGTTTATGTGCACGATTCTTTTTGACATATAATTTATAAATTCACGTTTAAAACTCAATAGACGCTTATGCTGTTTTGTCCAAATAAAATGTTTATAAAGACTTGTAGTTATTTTTGGCTACATCTGTTTTAAATATCAGTTTTGCCCGAGTTTTCACAGTTACATCGTCGAAACTTCAGCGTGAACTAAGGGCGCGTTCACACTTACACATATTTCAAAACTGGGACTAAACTTAGACTAAATCTGGACATGACCAGGACTGAACCACACTGCAAAAAAACTAAATCTAGTCAAGTTAAGATGACTTGAATTAAGAAAGTTTTATCATGATTTGAGTAAATTTCACTTGACTAGATTTTAGTTTTTTGCAGTGTGGTTCAGTCCTGGTCAAGTCCAGATTTAGTCTAAGTTTAGTCCCAGTTTTGAAAATATGTGTAAGTGTGAACGCACCCTTAGTTCACGCTGAGGTTTCGACGATGTAACTGTGAAAACTCGGGCAAAACTGATATTTAAAACAGATGTAGCCAAAAATAACTACAAGTCTTTATAAACATTTTATTTGGACAAAACAGCATAAGCGTCTATTGAGTTTTAAACGTGAATTTATAAATTATATGTCACGCTGAAGGTTCGACGATGTAACTGTGAACTAAGGGCGCGTTCACATTTACACATATTTCAAAACTGGGACTAAACTTAGACTCAATCTGGACATGACCAGGACTGAACCACACTGCAAAAAAACTAAATCTAGTCAAGTTAAGATGACTTGAACTAAGAAAGTTTTATCATGATTTGAGTAAATTTCACTTGACTAGATTTAGTTTTTTGCAGTGTGGTTCAGTCCTGGTCATGTCCAGATTTAGTCTAAGTTTAGTCCCAGTTTTGAAATATGTGTAAGTGTGAACGCACCCTTAGTTCACGCTGAGGTTTCGACGATGTAACTGTGAAAACTCGGGCAAAACTGATATTTAAAACAGATGTAGCCAAAAATAACTACAAGTCTTTATAAACATTTTATTTGGACAAAACAGCATAAGCGTCTATTGAGTTTTAAACGTGAATTTATAAATTATATGTCACGCTGAAGGTTCGACGATGTAACTGTGAACTAAGGGTGCGTTCACATTTACACATATTTCAAAACTGGGACTAAACTTAGACTCAATCTGGACATGACCAGGACTGAACCACACTGCAAAAAAAACTAAAATCTAGTCAAGTTAAGATGACTTGAACTAAGAAAGTTTTATCATGATTTGAGTAAATTTCACTTGAGTAAAATGATCTGCCAGTGGAATAAGACTTTTTGTGCTTAAAATATGAAAATACATCTTGCCACACCGAAGAAAGAAACAAAATCGAACGTTGCTTGAATTAAGAAAAACACTTTTATTCCATTGGTAGATAATTTAACTTGTCAAGTTCATTGTTTCCCAAAGACTGGGTCACGACTCTCAGGTGGATCGCAAGAGACTTTTTTGGGTCGCCTTGTCACGATCTGTATGTAGCTCTGCAATAATCAGTTCTGACACATGAGAGAGGAGCATATACGTGTGAAACGGGATTTTCTGTGCTCGCAAAAATGAAGACAAAGCCCAGGAACAGACTGAATACTGCGAATACTGCACCCTGGACTGGAACGCGCAACAAAAAAACGGACAGGTCCACCTATCTCATTAGAAATAGACATGTTTTTCTATGAATTTCTAATGCTTTTTGTAATTATTTTATTGACTATTTTGTTCCAATATTGCTGCTTCAATTGAATGTTGAAAAGAAAAAGAAATGGGCTGCATTTAATGTCCAAATAGGCGACTTATGGATCCTTTTATTGCTGCTTCAATTTCTGTTTTTCACTGATTAAAACTTGAGTAAAACTAATTGTTCAGAGACACGATCACTCAGTCAACAATAAAATATCCTCATTAATGTTCAATAATTGCCAAATCCGCATTTATTTTGTGATTTACGAACAATGTCAAGTTGAATCGACTCAAATAAAGTAAAATGTTCTTAATTTAAGTCATTTTAACTTACCTAGACATTGTTTATTTCCAGTGCAGACCAAATCTACTTTAGGTTTCAAACTAGACCCAACCACAACAACTATGAACACACCGTATAATGATTTTCTCACATCTTCCTTACAACTTAACACCACACTATTTTACTCTTCTACACTTTACAAAAACTTGATCCAAACTGCTGTTATTTATCTCTTTTTGCGTTGCCAGATCAGATCCAGACCTCCGTGCTCCTCTGCTTGGACGCTCTACCTTCCTTTTTACCCCTCAAAGACTGTCTCTCTCCTTTATTTGAGTCCTGTCTTTTCAGCTGCTCTAACCTCACATTTCTTCCTTCCTGCACTTTATTTACTTTACCGCAGTTTGCCGCACAGGTCCACGTCGGCTGGTGGCTCACGACGAGATTCAAAGTGGGCAGGGACGTCGTGCTGGTCACGTCTCTGTATCCCAGCGACGAGGCAGGAGACGGACTGTCCGCGGGAAAACTTTCGTAGCCTTTCCGTAAACCAGAGTACGCGCTCCAGGACGCCTTCTCTCTCAGCTTCACAACCTGACGGATCTTCTTCCAGCCGAGGTGATTTAACTCGAGTAAGTTCAAGAGGATGCAGAACACGCCGACGCAAAACATAAACAGCAAAAATACAGTTTTTTCAGTCGGTCTGGACACGTAACAGTCCACGGGTTGGCTGCAAGGCGAAGACGTACACAAGAAATGCACGGGGACTTTGAATCCGAAGAGTTTCCACTGCGCCAAGACGAAACCGACTTCTAAAATTGCTCTCAAAATAACATGGAAGATGTAACATTTTGACAAAACTCCCCCGGAAACGGCTTGGACTTCAGTGTTGGCCTCTTTCACGGTGAAAGTTTGTGCCTTGTTCAAAGATTCAAGCTTTTGTAGTTGCTGGATCGTGATACCTTCCAAAGCGTCCGCCAAGCTGTGCCCCAAATGTTTGTGCGATCTGATGGAGCAGCTGTCCGAATCGCAGCTCCGATCGTAGGCCTCTCTTCCGCCGTCTTTTCCCGAATCTTGCCCTGCTTGCCTGGTGGACTCCTCGTGGATGTTCCCCTGCTTTTGGCCACCGTTTTGCTTTGACAAATTATGCCAAGTGTAAATTATAAAGCAAAGCGACGGTGTTGAGACGCTGATGATGTGAAAAACCCAAAATCGCGGTTGGGAAATTGGCGCGAAAGTGTCATAGCAGACCGTGGAGCATCCCGGCTGGAGCGTATTGCAAACGAACATCTCCTGCTCGTCCGTGTAAACGTCTTCGGTTGCGACGGCGACGATTAAAAGCCGGAATATGACCATGACGGTGAGCCAGAGTCGCCCGATCATGGTGGAGTGATGGTGAACGGCGTCCAGGAGGCGTTTGAGCAAAGTCCACTCCGTCATGGTGGCCTGGGGCTGCCCGCGGCCGCGAGGAGGGACCCACTGCCTGGGGACGGGCAGTCTGCTCGGGTCAGGTCCACCTCTCCTCCCCTTGGACAACCGCAGGAGCAAAGACGGACCGGTGGAGTTTATGTCAGTTCATTAAGGGCACGTTCAAACCTGGTCTAGGTCTAGTAGAAGTCCTTGTGTAGATTTGGTTCTGTCCTCTTATAGTCCTGGTTTGATCTTCGTATAGTCCTGGTTTAGTCCTCTTATAGTCCTGGTTTAGTCCTCTTATAGTCCTTTAGTATAGTCCTGGTTTGGTCTTCTTATAGTCCTGGTTTAGTTCTCTTATAGTCCTGGTTTAGTTCTCTTATAGTCCTGGTTTAGTTCTCTTATAGTCCTGGTTTAGTCCTCTTATAGTCCTGGTTTTGTTCTCTTATAGTCCTGGTTTGGTCTTCTTATAGTTCTGGTTTAGTTCTCTTATAGTCCTGGTTTAGTCCTCTTATAGTCCTGGTTTAGTTCTCTTATAGTCCTGGTTTAGTCCTCTTATAGTCCTGGTTTAGTCCTCTTATAGTCCTGGTTTTGTTCTCTTATAGTCCTGGTTTAGTCCTCTTATAGTCCTGGTTTGGTCTTCTTATAGTCCTGGTTTGGTCTTCTTATAGTCCTGGTTTAGTTCTCTTATAGTCCTGGTTTGGTCTTCTTATAGTCCTGGTTTGGTCTTCTTATAGTCCTGGTTTGGTCTTCTTATAGTCCTGGTTTAGTTCTCTTATAGTCCTGGTTTGGTCTTCTTATAGTCCTGGTTTGGTCTTCTTATAGTCCTGGTTTAGTCCTCTTATAGTCCTGGTCTGGTCTTCTTATAGTCTTGGCTTAGTTCTCTTATAGTCCTGGTTTGGTCTTCTTATAGTCCTGGTTTGGTCTTCTTATAGTCCCAGTTTGGTCTTCTTATAGTCCTGGTTTAGTCCTCTTTATAGTCCTGGTCTGGTCTTCTTATAGTCCTGGCTTAGTTCTCTTACAGTCCTGGTTTGATCTTCTTATAGTCTTGGTTTGGTCCTGATCTAGTCCAGGTTTAGTTCTGGGTTTTTGTCACAGTTTAGTCCAAGTTTTCATGTGGTCTATAATGTGAAAGTGTGAACACAGCTTCAATTCATTGTCTGATTTTCTGACCAACGTGTTTCTCCGTAAATTATAAAGAAAGAAGATTATTGATTTATTGATGAATAAATTCTGCAAAAATAGTTGATCTCTTTGTGTCCCTGGCTTGGTAGCTTCTTTTATCCAAACTTTAGAGAGAAGAATACACTGGCAGACTTTAATTCAGCTCATCTGCGTTCCAAAGGTGTGGTCCAGTATTCATCAAAGTTACTCAAAAGGATAGAAAAATACTGTCTACGATGGCTCTTTCTGTTGCAGATCTTGTCCACTTATCGTCTTGTGATTACTTTTCTTCTTCCGTAACCAATTCCGTTCGTGGAAGCTGATTCAGAACGATTAAAAATGTCTTTGGATTCACTCACACTCACACTACTTCAGCTCAACTTCCTTTGTCCAATCGTTTAAATTCTGTTTAGTGAATCTTCAGCTTGAGTTTGTTTTGCTCATTTCTCAAAAACATGTATTCTTCTAATCAAAATAAGTCCATATTCCAAAAGTCCACGCCCAAAATCAAGTGAACAAGACTTGTCCAAGATTCTCCCAAAGTAATTACAAAACTATCGTACTTTTTTTTCTTTTAATTTGTGTGCAAGCCTCTTCAAATCGGTGTTTGTACAAAAATTTACTTAAATTAACTTGTTTCCAAAATCTTTTTCAGCTCTTTACTTTTGTGTTTTACGAGAAACTTCTTGTCTTTGGTCCTACAAAAGACAAGACAGCTGTGATCAACTTCCAAATTGTTCCAAAGAATTTCCCAAACCTTAATTTCAAGTCTCTCTCTCTTTCCATTTACTCCTCTGGACTTTTCGTTATCCACAGTGTTCCCGATGATCTCCGAAAAAAAAAAAAAAAGTCTTTATATTCTCAACTTCTAAATGTTACCAACTTCCAAATTGTTCAAAAAAAAGAAAATTCTGAAAGCTTAAATTCAAATCTTTCTCTCTTTCGTTATCCAGTGTTCCTAGTGATCCCAAAAATCTTTCTTTATATTCTCAACTTCTAAATGTTACCAACTTCCAAATTGTCCAAAAAAAAATTCCCAAACCTTAAATTCAAATCTTCCTCTCTTTCCATTTACTCCTCTGCACCTTTTGTTGTCCACAGTGTTCCCAGTAATTCCAAAAAAAAACAACAACTTTATATTGTCAGCTTCTTCTAAATGTTCCCAACTCCGAATTTATTCCAAAAAAAAAAATTCCCAAAGCTTAAATTCAAATTTTTCTCTTTCCATATACTCCTCTGTACCTTTTGTTATCCAAAGTGTTCCCAGAGATCCCAAAAATAGTTCTTTATATTCTCAACTTCTTCTAAATGTTACTAACTCCGAATTTATTCAAAAAAAAAAAAATTCCCAAACTTTAAATTCAAATCTTTCTCTCTTTTCATTAACTCCTCTGCACCTTTTGTTGTCCACAGTGTTCCCAGTAATTCCAAAAAAAACCAAAAAACTTTATATTGTCAGCTTCTTCTAAATGTTCCCAACTTCCGAATTGTCCAAAAAAAAATTCCCGAAGCTTAAATTAAAAATTTTCTCTCTTTCCATTTACTCCTCTGCACCTTTTGTTGTCCACGGTGTTCCCAGAGATCCCGAAAAAACTTCTTTATTTTCCCAACTTCTTCTGAATGTTACCAACTTCTAAATTATCCAAAAAAAAAAAAAAAATTCCCAAAGCTTAAATTCAAATCCTCTCTTTCCATTTACTCTTCTGCACCTTTTGTTATCCCAAGTGTTCCAAATGATGCCAAAAAAAGCGTCTTTATATTCTCAACTTCTAAATGTTCCCAAAAAAATTCTCAAACCTTAAATTCAAATCTTTCTCTCTTCCCTTTTACTCCTCTGCACCTTTCGTTATCCACAGTGTTCCCAGAGATTCCCAAAAAAAAAGTCTTTATATTCTCAACTTCTTCCAACTGTGACCAACTTCCAAAACGTTCCACAAAATGTCCAAACCTTCAGATCTTTCCGCCTTTCCACGAACTCCTCTTCGTCTTATGTTACCCGCAGAGTTCTTCTTTTAAACGTATTCTCAACTCCTCCTTCTTTCTGTTCTCCTTTGCGTTGTGTCCGCTCCGCTCGCTCGTCTGTTCTGGAGGAGGACGTTCGGGAAGGGACGGACCATCTCGACGCGATAAGGAAGCCCACTTGACACGAGGGGCTTGGCGCGCTCCGTCCTCTCTTGTCTTGGGCCCGTTTTAAACCGGGAGACAGAGACATCCTCCTCTGAAGCACCTGCTGATAGTGTGAGCTGATACTGTGTACTTCAGCGATTAGTGCTGCTCCAGCTAATGCACTCCTTTAATATCGGCACATGTTAAATGGTGCTCAAAGAAAGGCCCTTTGACACTGGAGTGGTGTGAGCGACACTGACGCCATACACAGTGTTGGGAAGGTTCATTTTAAAATGTATTTCCCTACAGATTACAGACCCCAAAATGTAGTTTGTAACATAATCCATGAAGTTATTTAAGGTGAGTAATGTAATCTGAAAACTTTGGATTACTTGATTTGCTGTAGAGAAGCAAAGACTAGGATGGTTTAGTCCTGGTTTAGACCTGGTTTAGATCTAGTTTAGACCTGGTTTTAGTCCTGGTTTAGTCCTGGTTTAGACCTGGTTTTAGACCTGGTTTAGATCTGGTTTAGAACTGGTTTAGACATGGTCTTAGTCCTGGTTTAGACCTGGTTTTAGACGTGTTTTAGACCTGGTTTAGATCCTGGTTTAGAACTAGTTTAGACCTGGTTTTAGACCTGTTTTAGTCCTGGTTTAGATCTGGTTTAGATCTAGTTTAGACCTGGTTTTAGTCCTGGTTTAGACCTGGTTTTAGACCTGTTTTAGATCTGGTTTAGATCTAGTTTAGACCTGGTTTTAGTCCTGGTTTAGACCTGGTTTTAGACCTAGTTTTAGACCTGGTTTTAGATCCTGGTTTAGATCGGTTTAGACCTGGTTTAGTCCTGGTTTAGACCTGTTTTAGATCTGGTTTAGATCTAGTTTAGACCTGGTTTTAGATCTGTTTTAGACCTGGTTTAGATCTGGTTTAGAACTAGTTTAGACCTGGTTTTAGACCTGGTTTAGTCCTGGTTTAGACCTGGTTTTAGATCTGTTTTAGACCTGGTTTAGATCTGGTTTAGAACTAGTTTAGACCTGGTCTTAGTCCTGGATTAGTTGTAGTTTAGACCTGGTTTAGTTTCCGGAAATGAGTGGAATTACCGGGAAAAAAAAAAAGGGTGGGGGGAGGGGAATAGCCCAAAATGTGAAAACAGGAAAATACCGCCGTGTAATCCATTTAATTCAACAAAGTAACTGTAATCCAATTACCACTCACTGAAACAGTAACTGTAACTGAATACAGTTACTCATAATTTGTACTCTGATTACATAACTCCGGTACATGTAATCTGTTACTCCTCAACACTGCCATATCCTAAAGAACTGCAGTACATTTTCCCGAGAGGAATTTGCTTCAGCCACTGAATAGCTCAGATTCTGAGTTTGTCAAAGACTAGTTGATCAAATATAACACGAGTCTAGATGGTTTATTAATTGGGCGTTAATCACTTTCTTTAAGATACTGTCCCACTTTAACTGTGTGTTTTAATAGTATTTAACTTGTTTATGTTGTTGTAAGGTGAGCTTGAGTGTCCAGAAAGGCACCTAATAAATAAAATGTATTATTTTCATTTTTTATTATTATGGATATGTCATTGCTCTGCCTGGAATGTTCCACAGTAAAACAGCTCTTATTCAATTATAGGTGGTTTTATAGCTCAAAAATATGTAGAAAAACAGGAATTCTGACTGCCTCTCCACAGATCTGACTTGTAACTTGGTCTGGTTTGGTCTCCATGACGATAGAAAGGTTTAATGCCACAC